CATAAAAACCTTCTAAAGGAATTTGTTGTTGAGCTTGGATAAATATAAATTCAATTTCCCCCATTAAATCATAAGGTCCCTTTTGATAATCAAGACCTCAATATGATAATTAACCATCCAAGCCATTTGAAAAGATGGAATTACCACTCTGACCAGACATGTGCATAATAATGATCACCAATTTTTTTAGAGACTTAAGAGTCACATTGTTTCATAAAGGTTGACAAAGGTAATTTTTTGTGAGGCATTTATCATTAAAATAAAATGTTTTTTGGGAGAAAAATAAAATTTTAAAAAATAAGTGGCACCATAGGAAGCACTTTTAATCAATTGAGTTTCGCCATAGTTTGATGGTTTATTTTCTTCAATTCCCTTTCATCAAATTCAAGCTGATCATATGTATGTTTGATCTAAAGATGAAAATAAAATGGAAAGAAAAGTCGAGAAATCCAAGTAATGAAGAAAGAAAGCAACAATTGATTAAAAATGAGCAGCAAAGAAAGGATTTGGAATTGAAATGAGATGAAAGATTCAAGATTAAAAGAAAAGAATTTTGGAAAATTTAAGAAGAAGATTTAGATATTTTGACTTGGGTTTTTTAAGAAAAGAAAATTTTAAACATTTGCATTTTTTGACTTTGCTTTTACATCATTAGCTTGCTCATCATTGATAGTGATGTATGCATTGGCATTTTTGTAAAAGACATTTGCATCGCATTTGCATCATCATTTTAAGAGAAGACATTTGCATCGTAAGGGTTTCGTCAATTTTAGAAACATTAAAGAAGAAAAAGAAAAGAAAAGGGCAAAAACATATTTAAAAGATTAAAAATTTTTAGTAATTTCAATGAAATGGCATAAGATGAGAGCTTTAAGCCAAAACTAGTTGGCATGAAAATTGTAAACTCAGCGAAATTGGTATTAGTCAAGAAAAATGTTATGATAAATTGTTTTCAAAGTATTCAGTGGTGATATTTGAGTACTAAAATATAGATTTCATTTTCTTCAATTATGATATGCAAGCCTGTTTTTAAAATAACTCGATGGTGATATCTGAGTATTAAAAGTTTGAATTTCATCTTTTCGATGGTGATATCAAATATTAAAGCTGAAATTTTATCTTCTCGATGGTAATATTCGAGTGTTAAAGCTAGAATTGTATTTTTCAGTGGTGATATCCAAGTGTTAAAACTTGAATTTAATTTTTTTAGTGGTGATATCCGAGACATTTTCAAAATCACTCAATGGTGATATTCGAGTTTAAAGTTTGAATTTGCATTTTTTCTCTACGACTGCATTTTCTTCAATAATGATATCCGAGTCCTCGATGGTGATATTTGAGTTTTCTTCAATGGTGATATCCGAAGTCATTTACATATTCTTGATGGTGATATTCGAGTTTTTTTCAATGATGATATTCGAAATTATATGCATTTTCTCAATAATGATATCTGAAGTTATCTACATTTACTTGGTGGTAATATCTAAGTTTTTAATGGTAATATTCAAGTTTCTTTTAGTGACGATATCCGAAATCATTTAAATCTTCTCAATGGTGATATCCGAGTTTCTTTCGGTAGTGATATCCAAAGTCATTTACATTTTCTCGACAATGATATTTGAGTTTCCCTTCGATGGCAATATCTAAAATCATTTACATATTTTCGATGGTGATATCCAAGTTTTCTTCGGTGGTAAAGTTATTTTTTGACAGTGATACCTATGCTTTTGTTTCTATTTATTTTTGTTCATAGCCTCTAATTAAAAAAAGCTTTTATATTTGATTTAAAAAAATTCAGAATATACTTGTCCAGATAAAATTGTTGTCTTTTTATCTTTGCCCTATTTCTAATTCTCAGTAATATACAAAGAGATGGCAGCTGTAAACACCTAATTTTATTAGGATTGATTGAAATTAAATCAATTGCATTCATGATTTTTATGTTTCCATTTTAAACTCATTCAAGTATTTTGATCATGTTTTGAATTATTATATTAATTAATTTATAAAAAGTTAAAAAATGAAAAAAAAGTCAAAGAAAAAAAAAAGAATATTTCAAAAGATGGATATGGCAAAATCTTTGATGAAATTAAAGTTCAAGCTCTACCCTATTTTTCATGGCCAGTCAGCTAGCTAGTTGACAAAATAGATTGTGATCCCTATAATTAAGAGATTTGGTCTAGATTTTAAGGGGGATAAATTGATGTTCAGAATTCACAAAAAAAGGGGAAGGCTAACAAGAACTAAAAAACACATTGCCTAAACTGAATCCAAGCTCTTCATTATCAACACCCTAAGCTGAATCACCTTTGTCGCCACCATTTCAGAAATAAAACTTGCCAAAACCCATCAGTAAACCCCTTTTCTGTCCAACACCAACCTTGATAGTACCCTATCCTACAAGATTGGAGCTTTATCAACCCAGCACTAGTTTTATCAAACCAACACCTTGATCAACCGCACTCTTACTACTATCTCCCGTCACCTAAGTAATCTAAATGCCATCCTACTTCTATTCGAACCCTTTTATACCCAAATCACCAACAACCAAATACAATCTCCAGAAAGTTTCAACAACCCATTAAATTGAAAACCAAAAACTCTCTTTTTGTTTTTCTAAAACCGAAAATCATACAAAAAAAGCTTTGCTTCTTTTTTCTTTTTTGTCACCAAAAATAAGAAACAAAAAGCACCAAAAATATCACACAAAAGAAAAAAGGAAAAACCACATCTCTTGAAATGGGAAAAGCAGTGCCAAAAGTCATAAAAAAAAAGGAAAAAAAGACGCAAAAAAGGAAAAAAAGCCATGGGTTTTGGTTTGAGGAATTCTAAGGAGTTTAGTGGCTAGATTTAAGAAAGAGAAAAAGGTTTTGGCTTGGGAGAGACATAGTGGAAGCTCGGGCTGCTTGGCATGAAAAAGCTAAGACTTTTTGAAAGTGAAAACCATCAAATTTAAAGTTAGATCTGAGAGTTTTGATTGATTTTTAGGAAAATCCAACTTAAATAAGGGAAAATGAAGAAAAAATGACATTTTTAGTACTTTTTAAAGAATTTTCAATGTTGGTGACAGGTGATCGACAGTCGACATGGTAATCGATAGCTGTGTTGGCAACTAGAACAATAGCCAAAAATTACCTAAAGAGATAAGCTCTCTCTTAGAGAGAGAAAAACAAAAGAAAAAAATAAAATAAAATAATTTTGGGCCTTTTACAATGCTATAAAAAAAAAGACTAAAACGTTGCTATTTTAGGCAAGAAGGATCCAAACATGAACTCGGATCTGACCCAAGGTCCACGCAAGCCGACCTGTGACCTATATCTTTTTCAACCCTTGACTGGTCTAGCTAAATTAGTTTTGAACTAGTTTTGAATCGCCTTTTGAACCGTTGATCAGAGGCATTTTAAGTATTTTCATCATAATTTTTTATTTTTTCTACTCAATTTTTTATATATTTCTATTATTTAATCTCTGATTTTTTATTATTTTTATTTTATTTTTATATAAACTCTTGATAGAAAAGTAAAATAAACAGTAAAACATATAAATTATTTTTAATTTAAAATATTGCTAAAAACTAAACATAGGAAAATTTGAAATTTTAATTTTCTCTTAAATAATTTTCAAAAATAAAATGAAATAATAATAATAAAAATTTTAATGAACAAGAATAAAGAAAAATATAAAAAGGCAAAAAAAATCAATAATAATAAATAAATAATTAACAATAAAGTCCCAAGTAAAGATTTTATTAAAAATATTTACACAAAGAAAATTTTTTAAAATATTCTAAAAGTGTTAAAAATATTTCAAAATTTTTGAAGTATGAAAAAAAAACATTATTAATAAGAATAAGGTCACAAGTGGTGATTTTTCATACAAAAAAATTTTAAAAATATTCTAAAAATGTTAGAAATGTTTTAAAATTTTTTTCATAAAAATAATAAAAACAATACTCACTTCGAATAAATAACAAGAATTAAATAAATACATAAAGAAAAGAATAATAACAATAATAATAAAATCACAAGTGGTCATTTTTAAAAGAAGTATTTTTTTAAAAAATTTTACCAAAAGTGTTGATAAAATTATTTGAAAATCTTTTCATAAAAAATAAAAAAATAAAAAATATTTAAATTGTTAAAGTAAATAAAATGTTACAAAAATAAAAGTCATGAGTGGTGGCTTTATTAAAATTTTTTAGGCAAAGTATTTTTCTCATAATATTCCAAAATGGTTGGAAATATTTTGAAATTTTAACTAATAATTTTTTTTTAATTCAATAATAAAAATAAACAATTAATATATATTACTAAGCAGATTAAAACTTCTTTCGATGATGAAACTAAATGGGAATTACAAGCAGTGATCTTCTTCTAAATTTTTAAAATTATACCATAAGTGTTTGCATAAGAAAATTATAATCTATTTTACTTTCAAAATATTAAAATAAATCAAACAACAATCTTTTCGAGTAAATAAGTTTTTTCTTTTTAATATTCTTGAGGTGAAAAATTTTTTTAATTTATACCAAAAGTGTCAAAAATAATTTAAAATTTTTTTAATATTTTAATAATAAAAAATAAAATAGCAATAAAGTAATGGGTAAAAAAAAAACTATTAAAACAAAGATCATTTTAAGATCATTTAAGATGAATTACTACCGTTTTCGAGCGGACACTATAAGAGTATTATAATATTCTACAAGTATTACTGTACTTTCAAATTCAACCTCAAATTCGTAAATTAAAAAATAAAATTGATAATTAATTATATTTATACAAAAAAAATTGAATTATATCTACACAAAAAAAATTAATGACGACTTTTCACTTTTCATATCTAACGATCCAAACCCTGAATGGATACATTGTGACAGTTAAGCTGTGAATCTCATGAGTAATTATTTCTGATGATAGTTATTTATTGAATGATTTAGCATGCGAATCTCATTAACTGTTTTCTCCCATTCATTTCTAGGAACGTCATACTGTTAAGCTGTAGTTTGGGAATTAAATATTTCAACAAAAGAAAAAATCTTTCTCAAACACAGCATATGCTGCTATTCACTACAAATATCTAGTTTTAATTTATAATTGATTGGTTGAGTACTTCATGAACAAGACAGATACTGGCATTTTGTACACTGCAAGATATGAAAGGACTCCAACTGGATGGAAACAATCCAGGAAATGAACAAGTTTCACAAATATCATCTTGGTCATTCAATTTTCAACAATGAATTCTTGAATCTCTATTCCGGTATGTCGGGCACCACCTTGTAGTCTTAGCAATACCTCATCCCCAGCTTTTAGTGAGGTCACAGGAATCACATTCTTCTGCATTCTGTTACCTGTGAATAGGTGGGCCAAGTATAAATGGGTAAGATATGGACTATCCGAAACTTCCTACAAAAAATAAGCTACCATCAAAACAAACCTTCGTGTGGACAAACCAAAGCAACTGTTTCTGCATTCTGTAGAAGGATGCTGTATACAGTTTGATCATTTACATCTCTCTACAGCAAAAGTATACAGTAATGTTTAGAATACTGAATATAGAGTTCAATATAAACCTTCTAATCTTTAAGAAAATGAGAGTAGAAAGATTTCAGCATTATGTAACATAGATGATTGAAACAACAATAGGAACGCGTAGAATTGTGTTGGCAGTGGTATGCGATATACAGACCTTTGCTTCGACAAGGATAAGTGGTCTGGTTTCAATCTTAACACGGCCAACAATTGCTGTCCGTAGTCCTCCCTTTTGATCAACCACAATCACCTCTTTGCCTGCTTTTAACTCAGAAAGGTAGCTAGTTTTACCTCCAGGGACAGCAACATAAGCATGGACAGGCCCCTGCATATTTCCATGGGATCTTTGTTAAAAGAATTTGCATTTAAGAAAGAACACTTTACATAATTGAGATATGAAAAGGCCTATGTATATTTCTGGACACACAATACATTGGAAAAAAGATTGTGGATTAGGCAGAAAGTACATAACATATGCAAGAATACTGCCAAAGTAGGAGATAAAGCAGTAAGCAAAAGAAAAAACTACAGTAAGTGCACTGCTCTTAATAAAAGGATTGATCCCTTTCTGCTGTAACATTTTCAGAATTTCCAGTTTAAGCTAAAGAAATCCCTTTTATGGGTATACTCAAGTGAGAAGGCAAAACTTACTGCATTGACTCGGAAAGGTCTACTCGCAATGTAATTCGACTCCAAACATTCTGAGTGGACAAGAAAGAGTCCTCTAGCAAATGATCCAACCTGTTGAAGAGTTACTTACATTAAGAGCGACAACATCAGATATCATCTCAGTAATAAACACCAAGTGATAGTTTACTATAACGAGAGATTACAAGCATACCAGGAGTCCCTCACCAGGTCTCATGAGGCTACAAAGATCCACACAAACTCGATCACCCATTCCAACTGCATGAACTTGAGTTATGGTGACCTTAGTCAAGCTCAATCTATTGTGAACTTCATTCCTTCTGTCAAAATACTCCTGAAAATTCAAAGCATGTTAAGGAACAATCCTTGATAACTTAAGAACCCTGACCTAGCACAAATTACCTTCAAGTCAAGAACTGCTTTGACATCGTCGACTTTTAAAACAACCCCACCCAGCCCATGCTCCAAGGCCTACAAAGAAGAGATGGTTATAGGATGGAAAATCAATTGAAAAGCCAAAATGACTATATACAAGGAATACAAATACTACAAAGATATACTTGCATTTTCTGTGCTTGATTAAGGATAACTTGTGAGGTACCTCAAGAAATAATTGTGCTTCAACAGGTGATTTTGAGACAGCGAACACAGTCCTTTGACTGCCTTGGAACTCTGCCACAATATTTTCTGCAGGTATCACCTAGAAAAATAAAAAGGATTATGATTTATGACTAGAAAGTAGTTACAATTTATTTGACAAGATATGGTTATACCTTCAGAGTTCACAATCGGACAAAAGAAATATGACAAAATTTTAGCTAAGCACAAGGAGATAACTTCTTATTTTAGCACTCAATCACATCCATCTTATGTATAACTTAGCCACTGAACTGTATTAGAAGAATATAAGAGAAGAGTTAGGAACACTGCAACTTTAGTCACTTGAAACTTGTATGGTCTGGTAAGCTATTGCAAGTCTGTCCAGAACTTTTAATAGGATAGCTCCAATCTATAAATGCTGTGTTCAAGTTGTTCTAACTAATCTGAAACAAATAAATCTATCAGACTTCTATCTGTCACTTGTAATGTAGTTCAATGTGATGATGTGGGACTAAATCTTTAAAACATGAAATTTGCAAACAGTTCACAACCTCATACCTGCCAGTCCAGTAAATCAATGACAACATTCCCTGCATGTTTATCCTCAGGCTGGAGCTTCTTTAACTCTGCAGGAGTTGAAACCTCAAAAATTGTAGCAACCCTTTTGCCCGCACCATCGAAAATCCCTCCCTCTTTAATGAAAAGAGGATCAATGAATGCAATTGCTGTAAATTCAACAACCAAACCCCCAAAATTGGATACAATCATACCAACCTCTATGAAACAAACCATATTCTTCTCACCAAAAGCCCACACAAGTTACTCCATCGCTTGCATGTTCCAAAAATATAACAAAAGAAATCATTCTCTCATTTTAACTAACATTACTAAAAACCCATCTACCAAAAGAGAAAGAATTAGCAAGTTACATACATAGGTTATGATTATAATGGTGAGTTTTTACTTTTGCACAAAATTAATATTACTAACAACAATGAACATCAATTAATTTGAATTTTAATGCAAAAATTCAAAAGAGAAAAGCATGACAAGTTGAATTGCATTACATGACCATTCAGTGGCAAGCCCTTGATTCTGTGAAGAAAATATGATGGTGTTCCATCCCCTTTCCACAGCAGCAGTCATGACTTGACTATTTTCAGTCCATATCCACACACTCTTTGATTGCTCAGACATTGAAGTGGACACTGGTGAATCAGAAGCAGCAACAGAACACATTCTAACAATTGAACTAATACTCAAATGGGTTGTCTTATTTTTGCTATATCTTCTCAAAGACTGAACCTTTCCGTGATTTAATCTGCAAAGTTTCCCATTTTATCTGCATTATTAATTAGTTCAAATATGGTGAATTGAATTGAGCCATAGGATTAAAGGACCCGAACAAAGCGCAATGAAGCTAAAGAAATGATATTTAGAAGCCTTCTATGAAAGAACACAAATATTTTAGGACATATAAGAACCTGAAGCAGGGGAGCTGAATTGAGATTCTGACTAGAGGGATAGAAGCAGAGGACAGTGAAGCCATCGCCTTTTAGCTCATGCTTCTTTTTGAAGTGGTTAACTATCTTTTGCTTTGGAGTTTAACTTGGACCTGTTTGTTGGGATTAGTCCAGACTGAAGCTAAATGGGTGGGCTTTCATTTGTTTTCCATTATGTTATCAGCAAGATTTTGGGCTGCGTAACTTAGATTGGGCTTTTTATGTTTTTGACTCTCAGGTCTTTGGGGGTATATTGCTTGTTGTAATCTGAAGTGATTCCTTGATGAATATTACTGTAGTGTTTATTTAATTGATAAAAGCATAACAAATTTCTGTTTTGATTGATCAAGTCACAAAAGTAATTACCTTTTAGAAACAATTTTAGTTCCCATCTTCGAACCTCCAGAATCAGACTGTTAATGAAGAAAATCCGAAAAACTACATCATGGTTCAAGTCTCGTGAGGAATTACAACAATATTTGAAAAACTCAGTTTCCTTCGTAGGAAATGGTTTTATGACTGTGATCAGATTTGTCTATGGAGCAATTGAAATTTTGAAAAGAATGTTATGCTGGTAAGGCTTTTCAGGGGTAACAATTTGTGAAGGGAAGTTAAGGTGATTGACTGAGTCAGGGAATCCTTGAATCTCCATAGTGCTGCATGAGCTTTATAGACAAATCCACTTTTTCCCTCCACAATCTTTATCTTGTTTCCTGTATAAAACTGCACACCAGGTTGATTGGCAAACAGCTCCATAACTCTTCCACACTTGTTATCCTTCACCACAGCTACTTTCTTCAGCTTTCCTGGAGTGCCATCAAGGGCATAATTAATGTCATAACCTTCAGGAAATTCCTTGATTCTGCTTCCAATTGTGTTAGGTTTGAGGAAATCATATGGGGTTCCTTTCCAGGCAAAAGTTTGCCTGTGGGAATAAGCTGGCTATCAACAGGTGTGTAGTGGAATGCGAAAGCTGGATTTCTTTAGACAGAATATCACCACCGTCATGGTTACCAAGGTTCCAATGTGTATGCTGAGCTAGATTCACAGGAGTAGACTTTTTTACAGCTTTGGCTTCCATTGTCACACTCAACTTGTTCTTAGGAAGAAAGGTGTAGCCCACTGTGACTATAAGTTCACCAGGAAATCCTGTGAAAATATACAACACATCAATCCTTCGCAATGAAAATGATCATATTTCTTATTTTCATTGATGAATTTGGAACATATGGATTGGAGAGAAATAGTCATGCACTAACCTTCTTCACAATCATAGCTGTCATAGCCAAAGACAATGAAAGGAGCATGACCATCTTTCTTATATTTTTTCACTTTCCAGACTACATCACCAAATCCTTTGGGGCCACTTAATGTCATTAAATCAGACGAGAAAGTTAAGGAATTTCAGGAACTCTCTTTTTTGAAATTAAGGTAAGAATGAAGAATTAATTTACCATGAAGCATGTTTTTCCCTTCATTAGCCACCAGCTTATATTGGGTACCATTCAAAGAAAATTTTGCTCCTCCAATTCTATTTGCAACCCTTCCAACAAGGGCACCAAAGTATGCGGTATCATTCTGCAAAAGTTTATACCGAGTTTGAGTAAATAGAGAGGAGAAAATTAATGAAATAATAGCTGAACAACACAAATAAAACATAATCGGATGTTTGATCGAATAAAGTAGTTCTAATTATTACCAAATGAAAACCTAAAATTGTGAAGAAAAACTGTTATCAGATCAACCACCAACAGGAAAAGAAAAGGAAGAACTTAAAATTCTCTCATCTCCAAGATTATAATTTATAATTATGTTATTCGCTAAAAAAATTTGAACTTGAAACTTAATTCAATTAATTCTATGATCACCTTAACAGATGTCATCCAACAATTATGAATTCAAATTTTAATACTTAAAATATTTTTCATTATTTTCAGACTGCAATGTCTTTTATATTATGTAAAGAATCAAAGGCTATAAAAGTTAATTAAAACCAAAACCCAGGTTTTAATTTGGTCAGATTCTTCAAAATGAAAATAGAATTTAAGATTAATCATGGTTGGCTTAAATGACAAGGAAAATGTGCTATTTTTTTGTTGTTTGGATTCGAATATACTAGGAGACTGTGAAAATTTAATTTTTCATAAATTTGCTAAGCTAGCAAAGATAAACTTATTTGGATTGATTAAGAAAGAATATATTATGTATAAAAGCCGTGAACCCATTGCCGCTTAAAATAATGTATTCGAGGGACATATTATATAGACAATCTAGCAGTAGCATTTGGTCTACAAATTTTAATTTCAAGCCAGGACTCATTTTAGTTTGTTTGAAGAGAGAAAGAGACATCACTGTGAATTTCCGCGAGAAAACTGTGATTTTCCATTGACAAGGCAAAGCTTAATCAAGATGCACGTAAAGTCTTCAAATGAAGAAATTGAAAAACTCACCATATAGTCCTTGACGGATTCATACCCAAGAGCAATATCACCCAGTTTCCCTGAAAATTAGCAGGAAAAAATGAAAAAATAAATGCACAATATATAAGAGAGAAATCCACCCAGATAAGAAAAATGCAAGCCAAAGAGCCCAGGGAACAAACCTTGTTTGTCAGGGAGAACAACTGAGTTAATAGTTGCACCCCAGTTGGTGAATTTAACAGACATATCCCCTTTCTTCAGCTCATATATTCCACTGCTTCCTTGGGTAGAGAGCCATTGACAACCAAAAGAAACCACAAGCAGGAAAGAGAACAATAAAGAAATCTTCTCCATGTTTTCAAGCAACAACAAAGGAGTCTGACAGATGATTTCCGGAGGAATTTATAAGAATAACAAAAGTCCATGATTCATGAACAAAAAAATAGGAAACTGAAGAAAGGTTATCATTTATTTAAATGTAGTCAAAGTCAAATTGTTCTTAGAAATGCCTTTCTGGTTCCCTAGCTTTAACTGCATTACTGCATTCCTTTTACTTGCCGAAGAGATTAGCTTTCAAGCAATCTTTATTGTCCAAATTTGGGGTCCCCCCTTGGACCATTGTCCATATATATATATAGCTAAATTATGCTTAGTGATTGCGGACTTTCCACCTCTCATTTTAAATGATCAGTAGATTGAAAATGTTTTTTTTTTTTTTTTTTTGAGTGCGGGGGGTATCCAAACTATGACTAAACTTAAGACTATAATGAAAAATGAACAAGAAATAAGAATCCATGGAAATGAGAAAGAACAGAGATTTATATATAACACCAAACATTCTCTTCCTCTTCAATTAGCAACTTCCTAGTGTAGATTACAAGAAAAAGCTTAAGATTACCAAAAATGAAACACAAGGAAAGACTAGCAGCAATGTTAGAGGATTGCTCAACTTGCTCCCAGTTGAATGGGAAGAGGAAGGAGAAACAACAGATCCAGGACCAGTAAAATCTGTAACATTTTCGCTGGAGCAAGGATAGTTGCAGCGACTAGGACGAACTATTCTATATACACCACTGCTAGCTAAAATTAAGATGTCTTTCCTATTATCCTGCCCAAAGGAGAATACAAACCCCAATGCTGGAGATGTTGACTGAGGCTGAATAGTACATTGGATAGGAGGAAGCTGAGTGCTAGTGAAGTTTCCACGACCTTCCTGGCTTTCTGTACCCGCCCAAATATCATTACCATACAAATCTGCATAGAGGTACCTACAACATGATTCATAAGTAATTAGGCCAAGGTAATTGGCATTGTTCCAAAAATTAAGCGCCTCTATGCTGGTAAGTTTGTAGCTAAACGAGCTCCATCAAGATTGACTACACCCTGCCAATAAGCTACTTTCAATCGGATTGATACAAAATATAATACTGGAAACTAAAGTTCATGTCCTACAAGGATCTTTTGTTACAATGCAAAGTTCTTTCTTGTCAATAGGATAGGTAGATTTAAGTTAACTCACCTTCCATACAAGCATGGATCAGCCATGGATCGATAGAAATAACCACCAGTAATTGATGTTGATCCTTCAACTTTGTTTACATCAGAATGGTTGTATCCCATTACTGGGAAGATTGCATTAATGGGGCTGGCAGATTTATTAGCCACAGAGGAATTGTATGAGAAAGGGGCATCATAAACTGGCCAACCATAGTTTCCTCCCTTAGTGACTATATCCACTCCCTCATACTGGTCCTGTATAAGACCAAAGACGTATTCATTACTAACAAGGGTTCGTAATAGCTGATTGAAAAAAGAAATATGCAAAAATGAGCATTGAAAGTTGAAACCGTGAGGTTAGCAGTCCAGTTTTGAAGAAGTTAGAAGTCTAATTTTCAGTAAACTGATGCATTAACACTGTATTTAACAAAAACCTCCAGGTGAAGCAACATGTAAATCTTAACCTGACCAACATCTGTACATAGGAAGTAGGAAGGCCTCTCAGAATCAAAACTACATCGCCAAGAATTTCTAAATCCCAAGGCCCAAATTTCTGGCTGCAATTCCTTATCTTCAGAAGATGGATTATCTTTAGGAACAGAATAATCTCCCCTTAGACCAAGGTCACTGATAGTTTTTGCACCTGCAAAGTTGAAAAATAGAGCATAGGATAACACTTTAGTCATGAAAATCAGATTAGAAGGGAAATTTGATGCCAATACTTAGTTGGTATGCTCTCTATGTCAAGTCTCATAATCTTTCCAAGCAAAGCTCTCTTTGTTTTGTGAAAAGTTGTAAGGATCACCTCTGCCTTCCTCATCTTCCATCATAAATATAAAAATCCATCTTTGGGTCCAAAGAGAATCTTACCACCATGATGGGAGCTGAATGGCAGTCCCATGGTAAGTATTCTTCTTACTTCTACGGGTCTAATACTCGTAACCTTAAATCAAGTCAGATTGAATGACGACGAAACTTGGGTAAAAATCATGATAAATAACTGTTACAAGCAGAAAAATTTTTCAAATTTTTACCGAGGAAAGATTTGATGTGGTACCATTTGTTGTGAACTCTGCTATAACACTATAATATTGGCACGGTTGAGCCCCACTGTCTAAACTTAATTTGGAAGGATCACATCCCACATCAGTGTTGCATGAACATCCTGGCCATTGAACCTTGTCGCAGTTAAATGAAGCAAAGAATCGGCCATTATTTTGGAAGTTTGGATGAAATGCCTTTCCCATCGATCCAAGCTCAGCATCAAAATGTACTTCATCAGTCAAATCTAGAAAAGGATTCGATTCATCAATACCCAATATTTCTCCTGATCCCTCCTCAGGAACAGTTGCCAACCAGAATTTTCCTGCTTGGTTGGACAAAAAGACGCGGTTCGAACCATCGGGATGAGCCACCATATTAAGGTATGATCCATTCCCTATTTTCTCAAGGCAAACACCACTAGGAGGACTGAGACTTTGAGAATTGTTTAGCATAACTGGGCTTCCAGTAAAACATGTTGCTCCATCATCAGAAGCTCCACCAAATTCATCACCAAAG